AAGTGTAATGTTACATGTATATAGAGGAATGTTAATAACTGGTGTCGCATAAGACTTCAGTGCAAACCCACGATAAGACTACTGGGTGCAGTAAACTAAGGAACTGAAGAGTCAAAAGTCTACTTAAAAATTCCTGAGTAAAAAGGTAGCATGAACTTTCAATAGTATGGTCAGACTGATGGAAGCCTATGAAACACCTCCAAAGGGATAGGCGAATAAACCAGATATCAAGATATATAGAGTAGCACATGACCAACCAGGTCACCAGAATCGGCAGAGGAAAAGGATATATAAGTATACTATATCGGGCTATCTGGATTGGAAGTCAAAGAAGTCCTGTCGGTCCTGAATAGCAGTTAGTAAGAAATGATGAAGAAGATGTCACAATAATAGGTACTGGGGTTCTAGTGAACTTTACAAGGGTAGAAATAGTGTAACGTAGTGGTTAAACAGATAACCTCTGTGACTGCAAGTGTTAGGTAACTATAGCATATTGCATAAAACTAGATTAGCTGTATGTGGGATATGAAAGGTTCTAGTAAGTTTCCTGTTAAGGATAAACTAGTCCTAAGGGTACTTGAAGGCATCAGGTACTTTGGATGGGTGTAGCCTTGAAGATGTCTCTGTGAGACATGGTGGACTACATATGCAGAGGGTTTAAATAGGCAAGACCCATAGTTGGCTTGCAGGTATAGCACCTAGTGTAGAACCTGTATAGTAATGTATAGGCAGATTACTTAAATTAGGCATCAAAAGTGCATGTGTAGCTAGTTGTAACCTCCAATGTAAGGGAGTCTCTAGAGGCACCTAAGTCCAAATACATAAATAAAAACATCAACTCTCATAGACAGAGACTTTAATTCAAAAAAAAATATATATATATATATAAAATTATAAACAGCTAAGAAAAATAATTAAAAAAAAAAAAAAGATTAGTAAAATACTGGCAAATGCAGAATAAAGAAGACAAACTAGTTATTAAAATAAATAAATATAATGTTTATATAAGAAAGAAAGAGCAAACAGAAGATAGTTAGCAACAATAAATAAGAATAAATTGAAAATCAATGTGGTCTTAGATATATTAATAAAGAAAAACAGCAATGAGATTAAAATAATAATAAATTAAATAACAAAAATAATGAAAACAGACAAACTAGGAATTAAAAAAAAAGACTTGAAGAACTAATAATAATAAAAAAACTAAAAGTAGAAATTATTAAATAATAAAAACTAAAAAAGAATATTAGTTTTTTTTTTTAAAACTTTGACAATACTGCTAATTAGTTTATTAGGCTTAATTTTTATAGTATAATTATAGTTACAGAATTATTTAGTGCTATAGCTATTTTAAACTATCTTAATTCTATTCTACTAACTTACCTAGTTATCTATATGACATCTAAGTCTGTGTCTGTCACATGCCTGCATGCAGTTATCTTTAACCATTACTTGCAATTAGAGTGTATTATTAAACTGCTTACAGACAAGAATACTTTTACAACTTAATATGATACCCTAATACCAAAGATATTGTCTTCTATAATTATATTTATATATTTTATTTATATGTTTTATTTGATCTTGTTTCTTCTGTCTTCTTATCTAACTATATCTAGTAACAACTTGTTCCCTATATTTTTTACTTGTTCATTACTATACTACTTTCAAATTAGTCTTATTCAGATATGTTTGATTCTTATAATCTTTCATATTTGATATGCCTGTTATTATTTTCTTTAAAGTTTTCTGATAATAGTCTAGGATCTGCAATAAACTTATATTTCAAGCTAAACCTGTTATCATTATTAGTCTTTTTGACCAATCTATATCTTAAGCCAGATTTGCTGTTGCTGTTCTTACAGATGCTCCAAGTCTTAATATCATACAATAACTTGATGCTACATATTACTTTTAATATAATGTTCTCTTCTATAGTAAAGATTAGAACTTATTATATTTACAATTAGGACAATTTTAGAAAGTTTTTCTAACTCTAATGATATTATACTATCATATATTGCAAGCTTTTAGCTTATTTAATAATATTTGCAAAACAATTCTGGTTATGCTTAGAGAGTTATACTGGTCTTAGTAATGTCATGCTATTTTGCAGATCTTATTTTATATTGATTAATTGATTCTAGTCTTGTTCATCATAGACTTCTATATAAGTATAACCAAAATCTAATTTGATGTCTTTTTTTTAAACAAAAAAATTATATACCAATCTTTAAGATTTTCTTTTTATAGTCAGATTATTTAGCTATATCAGAGATGCTTCTGATTTTAGTTAGATCAATTCTTTATTACAGACCATTCTTATATTTATCATTTCTTTCACTATTTTAGTTATAGTTATTCTTAGATTATTCTTTTAATCAAATCATTTTTTTGAATTCTAATTAGAACTTATTGCACAATTAATTGATTATCTTTTCAAGCAAGTACTTACAAGTTGGATGCAAAGATATTGATACTGCCTATATTAGAAGGTATAAGAATGTTAGTGCTGTTCTAATCTTAAAGACTTATATGCATAATCTTTTTATAACTATAATCTTCTGTAATACTACTGTTATATATAATAACTATACTTCATAATTGGGTCTTTTTTTAGAAATTCCTTCATTCCAAATTTATATCTGCATTTGAACTTTTCTTACAGAACTTTATATTTAATTAATAGCTCTAATAAGTTACAGAAACAAAATTGTCTTCAGTCTAATTCAAACTGTTAATCTTGTCTGTGAAGAGTTTAGGAACTTATTACTAAGCTATAAGACCTAAACTTAAAAGAATATTAGTTAAGAAATAATAAAAGTTTTAAAAAGAAATATAATAAAAAATATAAATAAATATATAATATATACAAATAAAACAATAAATATAAGAGTTAGAAAAGAAATAGTAATTAAAACCAATATAGATATAAGATGAATTCAAATAAATAAAATATAAGAATAATCACAAAAAAAGATAGTACTAGGTCTAGAAAGATGACAAACATCAACAATAGCTAAGTTAGTAGTAATCTGAATAGCAAATTTAATAATATCTAAAGAGAAATAAGTAGAAATATATACTAATAATGTAATAAAAAACATTAATAGAGGTTTAGAACAAATAAATAGAAACAAGATTATTAAGAAGAAAAATATGTTTATATAATAAAAATTAAAGACTTTATCAAGATATAGAATATTTAGATAAAATTGGTTAAAATAAAAAGTCACAATCAAGATAGATTGAATGACAAGACTAATAATCTTATAAAAAAAGAAACATCAAGTAAGAAAATAATATAGATTAAAGAAGTTAGTTGTAAAGAAATAAAGTATAAGAAAACAGTTAAACTAATATATCAGTGAAACTGCTTTGTAAATTAGTAATAAATACAAACTTAGAAATAAAATAAAAAGAAACAAAAACAATTAAAGACTTAAAATTAGAAGCAGAAGTTATAATTTATAATTAAATATATTTTTAGAAAAAATTAAAGATAACTAAAGAAGTACACTGCATAATAAGAAGAAGTAATATAGAAGAATACATTTATAAAGTATATAATAGATAAACTTCTAAGCTTAAAAGAACTAAACAAATAAAGATCAGATTTATATATAATAACAGAATATCAATTATGTTAAAACAAAATAAAAAAAACATAAGCATACTGGCAATATGCGAAGAATAAAAAATTTTTGAAAAAAAATCCAAAAAATAATCATTGCAACAATATAAAAAAAGTTAAAAGAAAAAGAAAAAATTTGAGTTCTTTTATATATATTATATACACACTTTTTAGAAAAACAGAAGTAAAAAAAATAAAGATAAAAAAAACTCTAATTAAAGTCTAATTTTTAAAAAAACAGATTAAAATAACTTCAAAATACAAAATTAAAACAACAATTTGTGAAGATAATAGTAAAAATAACCTGAAATATATTTTACAAACAAGTATGAAAATATAATATGAAAAAATTAATAAATAAAAGAAAAAAATAAAGATACTAGATAGAATAAAAAAAAAACAAAGAAAAAAAAAAAGAATCAAGTAAAAAGTAAAAAGAAAAAAAGTAAATTAACAAAGAATAAAAGAAAAAAAATCAATAAAGAAACTAGAAAGACAATGTTAAGACTTGTTATAAAAAGAAGAAAACCTTTTCATTATGAATTTTAAGTAATCATACAAACAGCTTACTTTTGTTTAAAGTAATGTGACAGGTTGCATTTAGATACTATTAGAAAAACTAGGTGATGCTAAACTTAAGTATTAGGAATGTTTATGTAATTGCAAATGTAATTTCAAAATCTTAATAAAGTACTAGTGTGACTGCTTAAAGAAAAATAAAAATAAAAATAAAATTTAGTGATAAATATTTCTTCTTAATGCTTTAAATTAAGTTTTAATAATTGCAATAAAGTATAAATATTAATGTATTCAAGAATAAAAAAATATTTTAACAAATCAATTGCAATGATCTTTACCAAATTTGGGTTTGATCACTATGCTCAAATATGTAATATACAATGTTTAAAATTTTCACTAATCATGAATGCATAATAATTATAAAGGTTCTATCGTATAATATGTCATGTATTTTGCTAGGATTTGCCAATCAACTTAGTCTCTAAGCCAAGTATCTGTTGTTTTTTTAGTTTCTTTTTTGTTAATAAGTAATAATTTACTTCTTAGTCTAGTTTTTGTTTAATTTAAGTTTTTTCTTTTACCACTTTTGTATACAGAGGATCAGTAGAAAGGATTGTAAATATAATAAAATTCGAAAAATCAAATTTTAGAAAAATAATTATATCTCTGCAAATTGTTCATGAGAACGTTTGCAGAGCTTGTTCTACATTTGACTAGTTTTATTTTATATTATAAAGATAAATATCGTTCGCACTAATGTAAATAGTACCAGAAATATTGTTATCAAAATTTGAAAAGTTGAAACATCATTTCTTTAAATACAAAAAGTCCTTTGCTATCATGAAAACTATATAGTTCCTAATAAATAATGAGATACAGCAAATAAAAAGAATGTAAATGCAATAACACCCACTAATGCGTCAAAAATAGTTAAACCCTCAAGTATTAGTTCCGTTTTACAATCACCTCTCAAATAAAGTTCAAACTACAATACTAATATAAAAGAAAAAAAAAAGATTCATCCGATAGATTCGCATTTAAAAATGAATTGAACTTTAAAAGTAAAAAGACAAATATATCAATCTCAAATATTATCAACAATATATCTTTACTACAGAATCTGCACCACCACTTGCCATCCATGGCAAAGACCGATGATATTCAACACATAGCACACCCTCATCAGATTTTTTCCGATGCGATACAAACTCTTGAATACATTGTCTTGTTGATACAATATCCCACAAACGGATAGAGCTATCATGGCCTTTATAAAATTTTTTTAAAGATATTAGCAACAAATCTAACCACATAATACACAAGTTTAAAACAGGTCATACCTCCCGAAATTAATATCATTCCTGATGGATCAATATCAAGTGTTGTGACTGAATCCAGATGAGCAAGCATTGAGAAATTGCATTTACCTGCAAGTAAATAAAAGAATAAATATATAATAACTTGGACTTTTGTTTTTCTTTTGATTAATTGATCATTGAATCTTACCACTGTTGACATCAAAGAATCTAATATATTTATCCTCATGTGCCGAAAACAATAGTGGCATAGTTGGATGGACGAAGACACGATTGATTTGCGTCGCTGGGGTTTTATCGTATGTTTCATCACTATTAAATGTTACAACACTTTGCCCTGTTTCAATGTCATAAAGCTTGATAATTGAATTTTGGAATGAAACGGCAATTTTCTTCAAATCGCTATGGACAAAGTCAATAGACGTAGGTATTGGAGGACGAACTAATATTATATAAGACGAATAATTATAAATCATAAATTTGAAATTTAAATTTTAAACATCAAAATTTAAATTTTAAATTAATGTACCTCCGTTAACCGGTAGTTCACCGTTGTTTCCATAATATCCCCACGAACTTTTCAAGGGAGATCCTTCTGCCTCCGTATTCCAAATTTTAACCGACCCATCAGCAGATGCAGATGCCAAAAATTGGGTATTTAAGTTGCAAATAGGGAATAATCTTAAATCCCATATAGCATCCGTATGACCAATGTAGGTAGTAAAGTTCAACGGAGAATCTATAAGAATTAAATTCCGACAAAAGAAATTTATATAAAAATACAACGCAACGAATATATATATATATATGTATATATGTAACTTAAAACTATAATTACCAACAGGTCCATAATTATCTCGTTTTGGTGGCGGCAAATTCCATACACGGATTGTAGAGTCCATACTAGCCGAATAACATCTGTGCTGTTCTGAAGCAATAACAACTGAATTTACAGCCGCTGTATGACCTCTATACGTAATTGTCGGCTCAATATCAGGAACATCTGTAGGCCTAATTATTAATCAGATTCGAAAATAAGAGCGTTGGTAATAATGAAAGTTTGATAAGTCTTTAACAATTATTATTTATTCATACTTGAGAGAAACTGGGCCTTTTAAATTCCATAATTTTACGGTGCCATCTTCCGATCCAGACGCGAACACGAGTTCTGACTTATGCCATGAAATAGATCGAACAGTATCAAGATGGCTAAAACAAGCAAATAAATAAATTAATAATAAAAAACTAAAGAATTTTCATAATAATTGTATGAAGTATAAACTAATTAGTCACCTTTTTAATGTGAATCTTTGCCTCCACATTTTTCTATCTGAACTATTTTCTTGCAATTTATCAACCTATAAGAGAATAATAGTAAATTAAACTATAGAATTAGATATTTTTTGATGTAATATTTAGTTTTTACAATACCTCTGATTTTTCTGTGTTCTCTACTTCTTCAACCGATAAACTGAGTTCATCTAACTGAGGATCTGAGGTATTGATTGCTATAAAAAATAATTTAATGATAAATAAATATTGCTATTTTGAAAATGAATATGAAAAAAAAAATTATATACAAACGTAATATGCTTTGATTTTTTTTCGAAGAATTTTTCATTAATTTCGAAATTTTCTCATCTGACAGGTTAAATTTTTTTTGAACATCTTTTGCCTGAAACAAACGATCAAAATTCATAACATTTAAGAGTTTTTTTTTTTTAATGAATAGTTTTATATTTACAGATCACAACATACCAATTGATACTCTTCTTCTCTGAGTTCATCTGCACTTTTTGAAGGAAATGCTGAAGTTATGTTCCTAGGTACAACTTGACTCGGTATTTTCCAGGATCCATCAAATTTTGATTTATCAAATTTTGGTTTGTTAAAGGCGGGAGTACCAACATCTTTTCCAAAGTAGCTTTCATCGTTTGTCTTTGTCCCTAATCCATCAATTCCATTACCCACTGGAGTCATTTCGCCAGGTGATATTATGTCATTTCTTGGAAAGCCAAATGACGATTGCTCATTATCGGAAAAACTTTCGTCACTCTTGTACGATTTATCAGCTGACTTAGGGAAGAAAGAACCGTCATCATTATCAGGAGAAACTAACTCCAAACCTTCACGCGGAGGAAAAGAATGATCTAATGGTGGACTCGAAGAATTTGTTGGCAATATGGGTAAAATTGTCGGTGGTGTTGTTGGAGCAGGCCTAGAAGGTTTTATTGCAACGTTGCCTAATCTTTTCGGAGGCACACTATTATTTGCAGGGGAATTGCCCCCAACCCATATTGCACTGTCTCTATGATTTGGCATTTGATTGGTTACATTATTTCCATTCAAACCAGTTGGATGGCTTAGAAGTCGATTGCTGATAGAGGGGTTACTAGTCGCAGCATTTGTAAGGTAATCAATTTCTTGTAAACATCTATAATTTGAATATTTTAATAGTTTTGTCAAATAATTATAATAAAAATAATAGTAATAAGAAATGGAACACGCAGGTTTATCGTACGCTTTAAGAATTTCTCTACTTTTGATGCGATAATTAGGGTCCCGACTTGATAAAAGACTCTTTTGTTGAGAAGATTGTTCGGAAGTCTGAGAAAACCCAGTAGTCTCAGTAGTTGATTGAGGATTATTTTGTGCTATTGACGATTTGGTTGGTATTATAGTAGGAAATAAGGGGAGATAAAACGAGTTTAATTTGTGAATGCGAAGAGTAATGTTTGATAATAGCCAAATAAGAAAACTTACGAAAATTTGCAAATTCGCAACTTACGTCCTTCTTCGTTTGCAGTAGCTGATACAGTAGATGATTCCTTTATTATAGGTTGTGTGGGGGATATGCCGGCCAAATATTTACTTCTATAACACAAGAAGTTTTTTAATTAAGCGGCATTTCTTTGATCTATGAATGCTGTTATATCTTCGTACCTCTCCTGCCTTAAAGCAAATTCTAACATTTTCACACGCCTCATTAGATTTATTTTCATAGTTTCAATTCCACGACGTTCTCCTTCTAATAGTGCGATGCGGGCCTTTTTATTCGAATTTTCATAATTGTGGCCATAAATTAGAATTTTAAATTATAACAAGTTAATTTATATTATCTTTACAATCTGGTAAACTATTTCAGTTCACCAAAAAGATAAGAGAATTCAAACCAAAACAATAATAATAATGGTAGTAAATGTAAATATTTTTGCAACTTACCTTCATTTCGGCACGCTCAATCTCCCATTCATTTCTGTCTCGCTCGTAGCGCCTCCATTCTGACTGGAGAAAATGAAGCACGCCTGGTAAGGTATATTCTGGTATTTGAGACTGTTGCATTGGCTGCTGCTGGCTATAAGTTTGTGCCATTATACTCAACAATTATACAGGTAAATAGGTAATGTGATCGCAGATAGTTGTAAAATTTAGGTAACAAACTCAAAAAAAAATCAGAGATGTTTAAAAGATAGGTTTTGGGTTTTGAGCTTCAAGTAAGTGGTTCGACCGTTAAAGAGCAAAAGCATCACTTCCACAAAAGTAGTCAGGTACCAAAGCATCAAATGAAGAAAAGAAGGCCTTTAGATCTCCAACAAGCGCAGGCGACGATTGAAATTTGAATCGAAGGAAAACTTAATCGCACCTTTTAATGTAAGTTAAATCTGTGCGATGGTTGTTCACAGGAATAGCAAAAAGCATCGTTTCTGAGAACACCCGCTTCTTTCCTGAGACTTTACTCGTGTAACCACGCTTTACCCTGTAATAAAATTACCCTTGTAAATATATCGGTATTGGTGTATGTATTTTTTTTACTTAACATAGTATCTGCCCTACCACCAATTAAGCTACCCCTTTTTTTGACACAGTTCGAATAGTCTTATAGAAACAATTTAAATTCAATAAGGTGTGCTTATTCGTATAAATAGATAGATCTAAAGATCGCTTTAAAACACTTTATTTTACATATTATTATGGAGTAAGCCATTTAAGGACAAAATTTCTAAAGCTAAGAATCTCGTACATATGTACGTACGTACGTTCAAACTATTTAATACGTATGTCGATATAGTTTAAATATCGATATAGCACAGTTCCTGAATTGTCATCATTAATTTTTCGTCTCACTGTCATAGAAATACGTACATACATCTAGAATAGATAACAGATAATACATAAATAGTATATCAGATATATAGTATAAAGTGACACGGCGTTCGATACCATATTTATTTATCTTTATCATGATTACTACATGATTGCATTGTAATTGTAACACAATTAGCTTTAAACTCGGGCATTGCCTCGGAATTAAGGTTGGGTTTTTTTTAAGTTGCTTTTTTGTCTTTTTACATTAAAGTAGTGTCCCGTGGATTTATGATTTTGAGATCCGCGTGCGGATCTTTAAAAGATAAGATCCGACCAAAAATGAACTCATACAGGGGGATCCCCAAAATTCCGGGTCGGAATCATGATCGGCAGGGCCGGAATTAACTAATTTTGCCCAAGATCACTAAAAGTTTTACTAATGAAACCATAGCTCACTCATTAAGTAAATCTGCCCAGCTGATAATTTTGGTCCAGAAATGGTAACTTGTATTACTAAATGCTAAATAAATGCCGGGCTAAATCCCCTGTATGAGTTCCAAAAATGTAAGGTAGTCCCGGGCATTTATTCTGATTGGTCAGAATGGCCGGAAACGGAACAACATTACGGTTCGGTAAAATGTATACGTACATGGTGTTGATAATTGATTCATATCAAAATTGGTGTAATGATAAAAGTCGATATAAATGTATATACGTATATATTAATCGATAGCAATAATTTTATTTCTACATATACATATCAATTATTCCTTAAACTATTTAAAATTCAGAGCAAATTTGCTTTGAATTTAATTATAAAAATAGTTCTAACGTATTTTTTTAAATATTTAAAATATTTAAATAAATTTTTACATAAAAATAAGGATTATATTTATATTTATATTTAAGACAAAAAATTTAAGTTGCTTATAAAACAAAATAGATAAATTTATAAAAAAATTTAATTAAAAAATAATTTACATTTTTTTTTTGATATTAAAATGATCTCTTTGATCTTTTGATTTTTATTAATGTTTTTTTGGTAATGTGTTCTGTAAGAAACTATTACAAAATAGTTATATATGTAACTTTTTTATATTATCTATTTAAGAAGTTTATCCAAAAGTTTTTTACCAATTGTTATATCTAACATCTCTGCTTGCATATTTTATTTTAAACCTTTAAACTTGCAATCTATATTAATATTATTGGATCATACTCAGATCATCATTTTAATTTTAGAATTATTTTGTTTTTAAGATAAACTTTCTGAAGTTTTTTATACCTATTTTTATAACTAATCTAATATTATTATAATAAAACTAATACTTATATTTAGGTTTGATTATTAAACTGTTATGCTTTTATAAAGTTTACTTAAACTTTAGTACTACTTCACAACATATTTGAAATATTTTAATATACCTTTATATTGTTTCTAGACTTTTAATTTAAATAATCTAGTAGAATTATAATTAGTCTATTAATATATTAGATTAATTTAATATCTTTTTTTTCTAATTTAATTTTAGTATTTTGGTTAATAATACCTCTTATCTAAAGATTTTTGTTTATTTAGTTATTTTATATTAATATTTATTTTATAAGATTAGCCTTTATATATAGTAATATTGTCAAAAATCTATATATACTATCTTTTGGTTTAGGTTTTTTTAAATAGACCTCTATAGACTTCTAGAGTTGATAGTATAGCAGTTATGCTTTAAGATCACAAATCACAAAGCTGCTAGTTTAAATCTTAATAATAGCAATTATAGAGATATATTTCTAAAATAGAAAACTACAATATTATGAAATAATTAAAGTCATTAGATATAATATAAAGCTAAAAGACTAACAATAAAAGATACTATATGAATTTATAATAATAGTTGGTTTTTGATAAAGTCCGATAAAGCTTTCTGATTTTGGCAAAGGTCAGTATAACAATTATTTCTAAGAAGTTTAAAAGTATAAACTAAAGAAAGTCAAGATCTAATAACTCTTAAATATTAAGAACATTAGTTTAAAAATATATAAAAGATATAAAGAAAGATCTTGGCAAGACTATTAAAAAAAATAAAATAAAATAAACTTCTATATAACTAGTTATGCAAATGTCTTATAATCTGCTAGTTATACAATATAATCATAATTACAAATATCTTAATCTAATTATTAGAAACAGTTACTATAATATGAATTTTATATAGATAATTGTTTAAATTTTATTATTAATAAGTTTTAAATATTTAGTTTATTACTTAGAAGATTAATAACTTATTTACTTTACTAAGTTATTATATTTTTTAATTTATAAATTTTTTTTTTTTTTTTTTTTTGGTATTAAGATGAGGTTTTGCCTTTATCTTTATTAATAATTTGTTACAGACAACTATATGAGTTGACACAGGTCAGAGCCAATTTACAAATTTTTTACAAGAATGAGGCTCAGACTATAGATGAAATTATTATCTAATTTATCTAATTTATTTGCAACCTAAACCTACTAGAGTGGTTAAAACTCACCTAGATATTTATAATTTTTTTAATAACTCTTCTAAATATATATTAATATTAAATATATAATTTTTAAAAAATATTAAAGTTTATATAAAAAATAATAATTTTTTAATTTTATTAAGACTATTAGTTATCAGCAGTTATTGTCTTTATTGTGATTTAATTATAATTATATAACTTGTACAAGGCAATTTTTATACTATATTTGACAGATAGCATATAAGTTTCTATATACTAAAGTGTTGTTTAATCTAACTCAGACTCCTTTTTTGCATGTTTGTTAAGCTATTACATATTTCAGAATATATTATTTAACTGTAAGATTTCAAGAGACCTTTTTGTTAACTAACTACTTATTTTTAATTTTCGTTAACAGAGCTTATATTTGCAAAGTTTACTTAAACCCCAATATTAACTTTATAGCATATTTCTAGTACTTATAATATATCTAGATTTTATTCTCAAATTCTTAATCCAAATAGTTTAAAAAGACTATAACCTATTTTTGATATTCTAAAATTTTGCTTTTCAAAATTTTTTTTTTTTGATTTAAGACTTCTGATGACCTAATTGGTAATACTCTTATTCAAGATTTTTGTCTGTCTAATTCCTTTCATATTAATATTTATTTCTTAGATTTAGTCTTTATAATAATATTATATATCAAAGATTTATACTAACTTTTAACTTGAGTTTTTTTAAATAAGCTTTAGCATTTTAGTTTTACAGATTTATATAGCTACAAAGACTTATCTTAAGTTTGTACTGTCTGATGCTAGCTTGTATTTTTTTGTATAACTTTAATATTACACAGATGTTCTATAACTTGCTATTTATACTGATATAACTATAATTATAAATATTTTATCTTAACTAATCAACAGAATGCTATTGTTATAATATTATCTATATATTATATAGATAATTATACAAATTTTTTACTATTAGTAGATTTTGAACTCATAATCTACTACTTGGAAAGTTGACAATTTATCTATTTTACTAAGTTGTTATATTTCTTTTTTTAAAACTACCAATTTTTATTATTAACTTATAAGTAATTATTTATAAAAAATAAACTTATATATATTAAAAGTAAAAAATTTTTATATAGTTAAAACTATATAAAATTTTAAAAAATTTTATAATAAAAATTTTAAATAAAAACATTAAATTTTATTATTTAAAGAGGTATAGTGATTTAGTAAAATAGATAGATTATCAATATTTAAGTAACAAATCTAGAGTTCAAATTCTATAAACAACAAATTTTAAAAATTATATTTGTATTATAATAAGGTTTATGTAATTTAGCATATGTGTGTTGTAATGCATCTACCTAATTAACTAATTAGATTATAAGATTAAATATAATGTATAATCAAAAGGAAATACTAATTTTTTTAAAAATTACTTGTAGTTCAAAATTTTGCTTATACATAGTATATACAAACTCTTCTCTGTAGATTTCTTGACCAAAAATTAATGAGAAGCAAAATATAAAAAAAATCACAAAACCTACTAGTAAGCAATATTGAAACCATTGGTAAAAAAGAAAGAGCTGCAAAAGTTATATTTAGCTTAAGAACAAAATACAAATAAGAAAGCTTAGAGGTAGCAAAGCTTAAAAAAATAAAATTTTTTGACAAAAACAAAAATTTTTTGTTAAACTTTTAGGGAATCCTAATGACTCTGTTGTGCAAATAAATTAGGTTATACAGAAAATACAACAAAACAAACAGTAAATAAACAAGCATATGTAT